GAGACTATTCACCGGAAGGTCAAATACTGAAGCTGAAGCTTAAATACTTTGGCCACATAATGAGAAGATGAGACTCACTGGAAAAGATCCCGATGTGAAAGACTGAAGGCAAAAGGAGAAGGGTATGGCAGAGGATGAGATGGATGGATAGTGTCATGGAAGCAAGAACATAAGCTTGGACAGACTCTGGGAGTTAGTGGAGGATAGAAGGGCCTGGCGTGCTATGGTCCACACAGCCACAAAGAGTCAGACATAACTGAACAACAAAATCTATGGCATCTAACAAAATGCCAGGCACATTGTAGGCACTTAATAAAACTTTGTTGAGTTGACTGGAAATTGCTGAGAGGCCTATTTAGGCTTGATGTAAAACTTCCTAACAATTTAGGGTTATCTAAAAGCAGAATGACTTGCCTTAGGACGTAGTGGTATTCAGCACTGAAGGACATCAATCAAAGGTCCATTGATCACTTATCAGCTGTATTGTAGAGACAGTTTTTGTTCAGGGAGAAGTGGGTTTGGAAGACCTTTGAGATACCTTCTAACTCTGTGATTCTGTGATTTGTTGGTCAGTATTCCTGATTAGGATTAGGATTTCTGCAGCTCCATCTCTTAGCACAATATGCCCAAAGAATTCCTAATTTATTCCGTTGGAAGTGGTATTTTTCTAATTTGGCTTTAAAATGGTCTTCCTGGTGGCAGCTTCATACTTCCTTGAAAAATTGCATGTTTTCCAGACTTCAACTTATATATTAAGATGTCTTTGGGATAAATCATGACATTCCGGATAAGTATGTTTGGTGTTTATAAATTACTAAAAGGTGGTGGGAGGATTGCACAGTCCAGACTACCTCTATTTTGTCTGTAAGGCCACTTTTCATTCATTCCTCATGGCAGACGTCCACCAGGTTATATTCTCCATTAAATACAGTTTAATGAGTACTGTGGACTACTGTAATTTATCCAGGTGGTCCAAGATTAATAGCCAGAAGTACTAGTCTCAGATGGCAATTGCATCTGGGTTGGATGGTCTAAGTCCCTTTAAGAATTAACAAGGTATCATGACCTGGGCACATTTACTGTCTTAGCACTCAAAAGTCTAGAACAGTAACACAGAGTTAGGTTAAAGACAGGACAAGGTCCTTTACAGGGAAATACAAGATAAGTGTAATAAACAAATAAACAAATGAATTAATTAATAAATAAATGAATAAATGAACAAATGAACCCAAGCAGAAAGTTGGGATTAGAAGCCAACAAATATTCTGAAGTCACTCATGTAGAGGCATGAAACAGAGCTGGCTCGATACGGCTCCACAAATGGCCTCATCAGGGAGCTCACACTATTGGCTCAACATGTTTTCCTTCACCAATGATTCAGGTTTTGTGCTGATCCTTATCAGTGCCTGCCCATGTCTTTGCTGAATGGGCTCCAGCACCGGCTTTGGTGCAGGTGCTGCACACTGAGGAGGAATCCTGAGTATGGGAGAAAAAGCAGTAGAACCAAGGGGGAAATGCTCCCTAAAACTTACTGTCACCCCCCCTTAAAAACAGGTGCTTAGGGTACAGCTTTATCACTCTGCCCCTCCGATACTGGTTTAACACAGCTGCCAGTCATTTCCTAGGGCTCAGGCACAACTCTTCCACTCCTAGTCAAGGACCTTCCAGGCCTCCCTGTTGTCCATGGAATAAAATACAGATTCCTCAGTCTGGTGTTTTGGGCTCTCTATTATGTAGCCCCAGTCTGTCCTTACCACCTTAGGTCACATACCTTCCATTCATCTGCAAGGTTCCAGGCTGACTGACGGATATCTTCTCCCATCTCTTTGCATTCACAAGGACCATACCTTATTCCTGGGCCTTGTTCCCTCATATCTCTGCCTGTTGAAACCCCTTTTCCTTCAAGGTTCAACTCATTTAACACCTCCTGTGTGAAGCCTTCCTTGTCCCCACCTTAAAGTACCCTCTACCTCCTCAAATCACTTCTAAGGGATTTGGCACCACTGCCTTCCACTTATACTCCACCCAGTAGAATGGAGGCCCTACGGTGATTGTATCATTTTTTTCTCGTGTCTTTGGAATTTTCACAGTGACCTGCATGTAGTAGATGCTTAATTAATATTTGTTGACTTTGATTAGTTTGAACCAGAACAATTATATTTTCTGTTGTGGAACAATGAATTTTGGTTGGTCCTTTGGATGCTAAAATTGTGGTAATATCTTTTTTTAAGCATAAACCTATAATTTTATTGGTGTAGATAACACCTTCATGAGGAAACTTAATACTAGTGGGTAACTTTTCTGCAATATAGTCTTTCACTGAGAGGTTAAAGGACTTGCCTGGATCAATACAGGTAAGTATACGTCAGAGGCAGAAGTAGAATTCAGGTCCTCCTGACTCTAAGACCAGCTTTCTGTTCACTTCTGCACACTTCCACTCATCCTATTTTTATAATTTGGGTTTGCAAGGTTAGAACTTAGGAATCTGTTTCCTTCTAGATGCATCACCTGAGATCAGAATACATAACCATCAGGTCAATTGTGATGCCTTGGTTATTATATTCCCATAATTTGAACAGAAAGGCACAGATATAATTGCCTAAGAGAGTTTAGCATACATTTCTACTCAATTTTCCTCATAGTTCTTTTTCCCTTTGAAACAAATGACTTCCCTCTGTCCTAACAATGAAGTCTGATGACTTTGACTCACCTACTAGTTTGCACTAATCAAAAGAATTCTTATCACTTTGTACTCAACTGCTTGATTCAGTATTGAAAATCCCAATTATACAGAGAGCTAGAGACATAGAGTTCATGACTACTTATGTCTTACAGTTTGGGTTATTTTTCTGGTTGGGCTTTGTGATTTCATCTACATAGGAAATACTCTGGTGTGGAAATCCCCACTATGGATGTAGGTCAACAATTTATCTGCAACTCAGTGTCTTAGGGAATTGTTGAGGGCATTAAGCAATAGCTTAGATCCTCTATTTACCCCTGTGAAAACCTGTGACAGGGTGCTTCATAGCTTCTTGATTAATCATTTTACCTCAGGCCTTTGCCTTCTGAAGCAACAGGATTCATAATTAGTAATTTATATTGAATATGGCTTATGTCTCTGCACCTGAAATTTTCCTCAGAAAGGTCAGTGACTCTCTACTTGCTAAATAAAATGACCTTTTCCTAGTCTTTATTCTTTTGGATCTTTCTAGAGCATTTGATACCTTGATCATCTACTTCTTCTTAAAACTTTTTTTCCCAACACATTACCATTTCCTTACTGGCTCTGCCTCCTACCACCTAAATGTCAATGTTCCACCAGTCTCAATCCTTCATCCTGTTCCCCCTGTTAAGAACTCATCAACTCTGTAACTTCAGCTTTCATCTGTTTGGACAATTTCCAAATCTAGATATCAAGAACTGAACTTTCTCTGAATTCCAAGCACATTTTCTATTAATTTACTTATTTTTAGTTTTCAACATTCACTTCCACAAGATTTTGAATTCCAAATTTTCTCCCTGTCTCATCTCTCTCCCCACCCCAAGACTGTGTGCATTCTAAATACCCCTTCCCCTAATATGCGCTCCCTTCTATCTCCACCCCCCACCTTCTCTTATCCCCTTTACCTTCCATTTTCCTGTAGGGCAGGATAGATTTCTATATCCCATTGCCTGTATATCTTATTTCCCAGTGCATGTGAAAACAATTTTTAACATTTGTTTTTAAAACTTTGGGTTCCAAATTCTCTCCTTTCCTCCCTCTCCACCCACCCTCATTGAGAAGGCAAGCAACTTGATATAGGTTATACATGTGTAGTCATGCAAAACACTTCATTTCCCTTCATCCTATCCCACCCCGTTTATTCTCTTTTGACCCTGTCCCTCCTCAGAAGTGTTTGCTTCTGCCAATCACATATTTTCAAGGGCTTAGTAGACATTTCCACTTGTATATCTTATCACATCAAATGTTACATGTCTAAAATGGAAATCACCTTGAAAAATGACCCCAAATATTAATTTAGATGCAATTTATTTTGAGGATATAGTCTAACTTTGGCAACAAAACAAAGAAAAAGAAAGTGAATAGTTCTGAGGGACATATGGAATTACTCCAAAATCAGAGACAACAGAGTATCATAAGGGGTAGTCAAAGATTGTAGCAACTAATTATAAAGAAATAAAAATCTTATAGACAGGTTGTTGTAATATCGCTAAGCCTCTCTTCACCTGTTAATGAGGAAGGTTGGACTGAATGACTCTGAAGGTCCCCTCTGAGCTCTAAATTCAGTGATTCTGGGATAAGTAAAAATGCATGTTCTCGTCTATTTCACAGAATAGTCTTATAATCCAGATCACTGAAGTACAGCATGCAATTGACCAACTGAAGAGAAAACTGGACACTGACAAAATGAAACTCATGATAGAAATTAAGGTAATTTTGTTTTCTACTAATCGTATAAATTATTCCTTAAAATACAACATTTTTATACTTATATTGTAAGAGGATACTTAGGGTTGATTATTTTGTGATACAGCAAAATTAACTCTTCCCAACAAACAAACAAGTGCTGAATTGGGTTGTTAGATCATTTAAATAGTCCTACTTGCCAAAAAGATTAAAGTCCAGATTAAAGTCCAATGCTCACTATTTAGCATAGACTGAGGCAGAAATCCATCTTAATTAGTGAAACTTCAGAGCTATAGAACATTTTCTTTTTCCTCAAAAAAATGTAGTTTTACTACTTTAAAGTTTGTAACATGCTCTAGGCTAAAAAAAGGTTAATGGGAAATTTTGCCAAGTAGAGATTTTGGACCTACTTTGAGTACATGTGATATTAATCACATATGTAACTAAAACATCATCATATGATGCTCATGTTATCTAGTATAAATGTGGAATGCGGCATTCTATCTTAAGCAAATATTCTTGCTAATAGAGAATTATCACATATACCATATTGTTTACCACTTTACAAAGAATTAAAATACTTAATATTAAAACAAAAGGGACTAAGAATGTGTTTGTTGTTCAGTCGTTTCAGTCATATCTGAGTCTTCATGACCCCATTTGGAATTTTCTTGGCAAAGATCCTGGAGTGGTTTACCACTTCCTTCTCCAGCTCATTTGACAGATGAGGAAACTGAGGCAAACAGGGTTAAGTGATTCACCCAGGGTCGCAGAGCTAGCAAGTGTCTGAGGCCTGACCTGAACTCAGGTCTTCCAGATTCCAGACCCAGTGCTCTATCTATGGCTCTGCACAGCTGCCCCCAAGCATGAGGATACAATTGTATACATTTGTCTGTTTTTGATGCTACCCAAAACCAGTACATTCCTGACTTATAAATGCACCAGCATATAATTGGACTATAGAAGAAAAAAATCTTTTTTTTTTTAGATCCTCTCTATATAAGGACATTGTACCTGACCATTGGTCTTTCCTTATAATCAGCACTAATTGATATGGTCAAATCAATTATATGTCAACCAGTGACCAGTGAGATCACCCAGGGAAGATAAATATTTTAACTGTAAATATCTGGCCTGCGGTTGACTGTAATATTATGAAATGCAATGTGTATGGAAGGGGGCACTGGCCCCAGAGTCAAAAGGCCTGGGTTCAGTTCTAAGGTGATCTTTACTCCCAGAATGACCAAATAATAATAATAATAATAAAAACATAGTGCTTTAAAATTTGCAAAATAACATTTTCATCTGAGCTTCATAATCACCTTGTGAACTAAGTAATACTTACATTATCTGCATTTTACAGATGAAGAAACTGAGACTCAGAAAGTTTAAGTGACTTGCACATGGTCACATAGGTAGTGAGGACACTTTCTAATAAGTCCAACACTCATCTGCTATACAACACTGCCTCGCTTAAGGACAAGTCACAACCACCACGAGCATCAGTTTCTTGATCTTTAAAATGGGGATAATACTTCTACTATCTACCTCATGGGGAGATTATGAGCAAAGTTCTTTGGAAACCTCAAAGTTTAAATAATTGTGAGCCATTATCCAAATTGATTGATCAAGAAATTTCTTTATAAAGATCCTTGCACCACCCATACAGTAAAGGTACTGTATCTAATTTTAAGTAACATTGTATTACCTTAATACTATATTGGTGTCACTGGTGTGGATATTCCCTCCACAGTGGGGATCAGAGCTCCTCTATGGCTTTCAGGACTTACTGAGGGCAAAAATTTGATTATTTTGTGGCCAACCTGGCAACTGGTTTCTAAATTGTGTAAGGATGGTCTTCAGACAATAGACAGTCATTCACCACTAAGGCCACACTTAAAAACCCTTTCCAACATGGTGGTACATGCCCAAGCTTCGGACCTACTGACATAGCCGTGAGGAATGCCACTTCTATGGCAAGATAAGGCATTCAAAGAGGACTTAATAGGTATTTATTCTAATGTGTGTTCTAATGACAAATCCTCACCTTCTGGTATGTTAAATGGGCAGGAGATAATATATGTTAATCACTCTCCCAACCTTTAAAGCCCTATCTAAATATTGGTTATTCATTATTATTAAAATACTGTCATTTAGTGAAATCTCATTTTGAAATTTGAGCAGAGAACATAAACTGGTATCTGGTCTTTCATTGTAATAAAGAAAAATTTTTTTTAGCAAAATATGGTATTATTTCAGTATGCTATGTGAAGCCTAAGAACTAGCTATGAATATCACAGTAAAATTTTGCTGTTCAGCAACCTAGTTTTTGTCCCCTGAAAGTTAAAGGCAGTAGACAGGGAACAATGGTATTAGGGGATGAGAACACAGAAGTCCATTGAAACTGCTGCTTAATTATGGTAGCCACTGTACTGCATGATTATTGTGAGCACCTTCAGAATACCAATGTGAGATTTAATTAATCTTTGAAAGGTACTTAAAATCATTTCAACCTAGATCTCATCTGGGAGCCTTCCTTTACAATTTCCAATTCTTTTTGCAGATGAGAAAACAAGCAATTTCAGACAGACGAACATTAAAAATGGAACTGGAACAAAAGAAAATGAAAGCATCTTTAAGCTCCTAGTCATATGTATTTACTTAGAACTGTCTTATTTTTCAAAATGTTTAGACTTATTTGAAGACTGTCCATCCATTGTTCTTGCCAATGTTTCTTTATAAGCCTTGTATCTCTATTCCATTATTTTTCATATTGAGTTTATAAAGTGACTCAGGAAATGTTAAGCACAGTATACTTCTTCAATACTTTGAGGATCTGTGATTTTGTCAGAGTGGGTACTCCTTCCACTAAGAAAGATCACACCCCCTCCACAAGTTGGAAGATGAACTCTAAGAGTAGCTTTGGTAAAAAAAAGAAAAAGAAAAAGAGAGAGAGAGAGAAAGAGAGAAAGGAAGAAAGAGAGAAAAAGAGAGAGAGAGAGAGCAGTGAAAAGCCAAGTAATTTGTTCAGGGCATTATTTAGTTATTTTTGAGTATTTCAAGATGACTGGACTTCATTTTACAGTAAAGTATTTCATTATTCTATTGCTGGGTTTAAGATAATTCATCTAGGAGTTAAGAATAAAGGTCCATTATTAGTCTTAGCAAACCACCACGTCTTGGTACAAAAGGCTACACTGATTTTTTTTTTATGTAACCCTGATAATTAAAAGAATAATCCTTTGTTTTATTTTAACTAAACAGTCGCCTAAGAATCTAAGACTGAGGAAATCGAGTTTACCATTTGGAGCACTCAAGAGGAAACTCCTGGGATTAGTATCCAAGAAGTATCTTATTAACATATTTTAGAAGCATAGAAACCATCAGTAATTCAAAATAGACTATGAATTATCATCCTTTTGACTGGATGTTCCAGGCATTCTGCTATTAGCAGCCATGTAAATTGGAAGCAGAGATCTTACATATGCCCTAGACCTAGAAAGGACGGTCAAATTTTACCTCCTTTTATTCTGATTAATAGGAAAAACAGTTAGGAAAGATTAGATTTATGTGAGTCCAGGGTTCATAGGAATAGGTTTGTAATGTCCCTAGACAGTTATACAGCCAGTACTATCGAAATGCAAATCATAATTTGATATAATGCTGTTGTTTTTATAATTCGCCATATGAAAAAGCAGAGGGTTCTGAAATGAAACCTGGCTAAAGAGTTAGGAAAATTCTAAATATTAAACTACTGTGTTTTAGAAAGAGAAACATCAGTTCATAAACTAACGTCATGAGGTTAAAATTAGAAGCAAAATCTCAATGTGGGAAAATATTGTAAATTTGAAACAAACAACTTAGCAATAAGGTTGTCAATGAATAAATTATAGATGCACAGAAAAGGATCTTAGGAGAATTGTTTCATCAAGAATAGCATAAGAATAATATCAGATTATCTACTAAGTTATCCCTATAGTAAATTTGATAATAATAAAATTCTTCTTGAAAATATCTGTCTCAAAAGCATAATTTAGCTGAAAATTTAGGCAACACCACCATACTAGTTTAAAAGAGTATCTTTTTTTTAAATTACCTGGGCCAATTCTATATCTTTTATCTTAAAGTCACCTGTCTAGAGGTTGGGATGAAGCAAAAGCAAGCCTCACAGGGCACTGAGGTGCTACCCGAAGAGAAGAATCACTAAGCCAATATCCCATCCTCCCTTTAACAATGCATTGGCCCTAAGGAGAAGACATTCTATATTAATTTTAATATTAGCTTTGTTGGACAAATAAAATTACAGAGTAAATTGCTTTTCAGAGAATAGGTTTTTTTTTAAAATATGTCCTAAGCAAACTAGGTTTCCCTTTACAAGTTTTAGAGCTTTCTGCATAGTTTATAAATACGTAAGCATACATGTTAATATCATGGACAAAAAGACATGCACATAATAAAATTATGAAAATACCGGTTTATTAAGTGACAGATAAAACATCTTATAAAATAAAGAAGATTATTTCATACTGAAAGATAGACTCATCTCTCAACTTTTGTGTTTCTTAAATGATGAAAATATATGTTTGAAATTCAACTTACAAGCCTTAAGCTGACAATTCAGTTATAGTTCTATTGGTACACCAATTATCAAAATGCTTCAGAATAGAATAGAACTATTTGGAAAGAAAACATTAACAAATTATTTTTTCAAGAAATAAGATGTAAAGTACAAACAGAATGACTTGAATTGTGTATTTTGAGCAGCGTTTTTTAATTAGTCCTTTACCCATTTACCTGTAAGGCCCTCCACATGTCCTTAGTTTGCTGTTTGGCTACCTCATCCCCAGAGTAGTCAAGACAGTTCCCATTCCACATCCCAATGCCCCTTAAGCCATGATCCCTTACAAATGCCGCCTTTAAAGAAATGCTCTTCGGGTTGTCATACCACACCTGATGAAAGTGGCCATCAGTGTCCTACACAAATACGGAAATATAGAACACCAAAATAAGGTCATAGAAAAAAAAAACAAACACCATTTCTTAAATCCAAAAAGAGAAGGCACCACTACCAGAGGCTCTGTTATTTTGTGGTTCTATCATTTTCCATACCACTGTTAATGGGCATTCATTGAAACTTACAGTCAATTACCCCTAAGTTATGACATATGGTCCATAAAGGAGCTTATTAATCAGTTGGTCCTCCATGTTTTCCCCTCCTTTCCCTGTCCCCCTCACTGGGGGCTCTGGGGCTCCTTCCTCAGTTTAGACAGCCCCAGCCAGGCTGTCTTAGCTCCTTCTAGCACCAGCAGAGCTTCTCAGAACTTCTCAGGCTGCTGGCTCAACTATGTATGGCAGCAGAAGGTTATTGCTAGGGGTGAAAGTAAAGGAGACAGAGAATACAGCAGACCAAGAAAGAATGGTTTTGATTGGAAAATGAGACCACTAGTTGTTTGTTTATTTCTTTGTTTTGGGGAGGAGGGTGTGGTGAGCAACTAGTAAAGTGTCTTCAAAAGCAATTTTTTTAAAAAAGTGTTCCCAAAATGTTTTGGATATCTGCAGTAGTACAGGAATAAAGCCTTTTATAGCTGGAGGACAATGGACAATATGAACTTGGATGTGTGAGTTCTGCCCATGTTTAAAAGAAAAAGTAGCATCACTTCATCATACTTTGGATTGCATTTATCTCTATAATTATTTCACACTTTATATTAAGGATTAAAAATTCTTAGAAATAACAAAATCATATATGTATATGCTTTACATATAAATATTTACTTATTAATATAAAAATTTTATTTATTTAAATATATTTGTATATTTACATAAATTATATTTATTCATGTATGTTTACATTATATATATATTTTATATATTAGGTCATTAATCAATATGCAGAATTTATGGCTAAAAGGGAAAGGCTTAATTCTGCAGATTAAGAACCAAAACTTTGGTTTGTCTTCCTTTGAATCTGACCAAGATTCAAGATGAAACTCTGAAGCTTTTCGACATTGTGGAGCAAAAGCACAGTATGGGATCAAAGAGTTAAAAAAACAACCACAACTTACGAGGAATTTAATGAAAACAGTTCTTTCAAAAGACAGTCACCCTTGTGCCAATTAAAAAAATCTAGTAAGTGCTGCTAAGATCTGTGAATTTTTGATCATCGTTTAAAATGACAAATATCATAAAATTTTGCAACTTTTTACTATTTCAAATAGCTCGAATTACTAAGCAGGAAACTGAAAGTCCTCTTTTGCCCAGAGTTTGATTCCAGTGTTTTTAAGGAAGATGGACATCATATTTCATATACTAAAATAACTGATATAAATATCTAGTAAGTTCTTACACGAGTATACACTATAATAAATAATATATATCAACTTAAAATCTCTTACCTTATAGTTATAATATGGGGCCTGCTGTTGGGCATTCCACTGGCTTCCAGAAAGGGAACTATTCACTTGCTGCATGATGGCCTTATAGGTCACCTGGCGGCCTGCAGCATCACTACATGGTGCCCCACGGAAAGGCACTTTGGGAATGGTGCAGACGTGATCCTAGTGACAAACAAGAACTTGAGTGTTAATCACTCTGAACTAAGTACAAGTTCCCAGAAAGATAAGCCTGGAAATCTGATTAATACTGACACTAGGGATAGATGTAATTGTGAGATTAAGCTTTTTTTCCCCTAAAATGAAAATGAGTAGATTCCAAGGGCCCACGTCACTGACAGAAAGTTACCTAAATCTGCCTCTTTGCAGCTTTCACCCATTTCTGTTAGTAAATCCCTCCTTGAGGACCAAGCAGAACCAGTATACTCTCTCTTTCACGTGACCGCTCATCACAGAACTGAAAACAATCCACATATCCTCTCTGAGTCTTCTCTGGGTCAAATGACTCCAGATCCTTCAACCAATTCTTATATCAAGTGAACTTAAATCTCTTTTTGCCTTTTTATGGGAGGGGGGGTGGTCTCCTCAGTGCTTAGCACAGTGCCCAGCACATTAGTAGGTGCTTAATAAATGTTTAGTGATTGACTAATTGATCTTAGTTGCCCTCCACATCGGATGCCCTCCAGCTCAGCCATATTTTTCCTAAATTTCCTAGTGTCCAGAACTGAACAAAATCTCTCAGATGTGGTTTGAACAGAGCAGGATACAATGGGACCACCATCTTCTTATTCCTGGGATCTCTGTCGCCCTTAATGTAATACATGATCAGTTAGTTTTATTTGGCAGCCATATCACACTGTGCACTCCCATTGCCCCTGCAGTCCACCAAAACCCCCAGCTCTCTGTCAGACCAGCCGTCTAAATCTGCCTCCTCCAACCTTCTCCTTGTGCAGTCGATTTTTAAAAAAAAAATCTATCATGCCATGATCTGTCCTCTAGAAACTCAAGCTACTCAGTTTAAAACCATATGTGGAAGCCAGAGAAAGAACTATGGAGTCTGAATGCAGATTGAAGCATACTATTTGCTCTTTTTTTTTTGTTTCTTCTTTCTCATGATTCTTCCCATTGGTTCTAATTCTCTCCAACATGACTAATATGAAAATATGTTCAATATGAATGTATATGTAGAGCCTATATCAGATTGCATGCCATCTTGGGGAGGGGGGTGGGGAGGGAGGTGGAGAAAATTTAAAACTCAAAATCTTCTGGAAGTGAATACTGAAAACTAAAAATTTAATTAATTAATTAAAACATATGTGCAAAAGTTTTATTTACTTTTTGTGAAAGAAAGCACACAGAAAAGGGAGATAGTATGAGAATAGATAGGAGAATGACCCGGAATTGACATGAAACAAAATGATCTTACCTCAGATAAATTCAGGCAATGATAATCATAGCCATACCAGGGAACACCCATTACAAGTTTCTTAGGGTCAATGTTCATCTTGAGATAGCTTTCATATCCTAATTAAAAAGAAAAGACACAATAAAACCCATGCTATCTTGACATTATAACCACGAGTTCTCCAACACCTAAAAACCTAGGGATGTCAAAAGAGGTACTATATATGCAAATTAATAATACTGTATTTGTCTAAAGTGACTTTTTAGATGTAGTTCCACAATAATAATCAATTCCTTCTTGTCTCATTTTTTTAAAAACTTCTCTTTGAATAGAAAAAAAAATTCATAAAAATGAGATTAAATTTCATTAGTCTACTTAAAAAACCTGCAGAACACTGACTTAAATAAACTAAAATAGTCATGTTCTAGGAAGAATAAAACATTACAGGAAAGCACACAAACCCTGTCTATTGACTTGTAAAACACCCTCTGGCCATCTTCATTCTCAAGTATCAGATAAGGCTAGCAAGTTGAATCTTTGGGAAATGATGATTTCAATGTGAATCTAGGCACCATCTAATCAATAAATTGTGTGTGCGTGCATGCGCGCGTGTGTGTGTGTGTGTGCGTGCATGTGTCTATGTTATAGACGAAGTGTTCGAATTACCATGCTCCCTTCTTGGCCAGCGCCTGGCTTCCAAATGAAGGCCACCTGGTCTAGGGGAAAAAAACCTCAGAATTAGAATCAGGTCTGGGCTGGCATGCAGCGTGCATCTTGTGCAACTTCACCTAAGTCCTTCCTTCTACCTTGGCCTCAGTTTTCTCAGCTGTAAATGAGGGGACTGGACCAAGTGACCACTGAGGTCACTTTGGGCTGAGAAAGATAAATTAAGTTGCATCTCCCCCCGTCAAATAGGACGACTATCCGCCCCATGAAGATGCATTGTATTCTCCAGGCTTTTGTTCCGTGTGTCGCCTGTGTCTGGCACATCCTCCCTCCCCTCCTCTTTTCACCTCCTGACTTCTGATCCATGAATACCTCGTCCATGGGGCCTTATTCAAGTCCCTTTTCAGGTTTCAAAATTAAATGAGAGATGTACTACTGTCGCTGCTTTGCTAATTTGTTCAAACTCCAGTGAAGGTATTTGGTAAAATGTAGATGATTGAAATGGATTTTACACTCAGAAAATCAAACTATTGAAGGATTTCACCATTCACTGCCCAGTCAACTCATTCACAGACCCACCCCACACCGCCACCGCCATTTATTCTAAATGAAATCCTGTTCTTACGTGTAGGTGATACTTTTTGAAACTGGACCATTAGTTGGTTATTTGCTAGGTTGAATACTATGTGTACTGCCAATACAATATTACTTCTCTAACTTTATATTTTAAGTCAATTCAGTTTCTATTCAACAAGTATTTCCTGGGTTACCAGAATATACAAAGTATTATGCTGTAAGGGAGGGAAAGAAGAATAAGACATAGTCTCTACCCTTATACAGGTGCCCCAAAAATCTTAGTGTAGTTCAAAGCTTTAATAGTGAAATAATCTCATTTTAAGAGCAAAGGGAGTGGTCTCTATTCAGGCCAATAGAGTAGTTTCTTTACATGAGCTTTAAAACCCAAGCACCAAAAATAACTATTAACAAATTTTCTAGCAACAAGCAGCCTACCTGTTTCAAGAAAGCATCAACATTGAAAGGATGTACAGGTGAAACAGAAAATCCAAAAAATCCTTTAGTGCTTGAAGCACTAGGAATAATATTGTCAGTGAGCAACCTTTTCCCAGGTCCTTACCTATTAAGGTCTGGTTATAGGGAGCATTGGCTGCTGCGATACACTCTGTCCAGATCTGACTTTGTTCATCATAAGACATCACAAAGAGGAAATCACAGGATTCTGCGATTCCACTGTAATTGTAGCATCTCTTGTCTATGCACTTTGGAGACCAGGCGACATCAAAAGTGACCTGCAGGGAAGAAACACAACGTAAGCCTAGAAAAGGATAAGGAGCTGCAGAGGCTCTTGCCCAGCTAGGAACTGGCCAAGGCAAGAACAGCCATCTCACAACGTGTATATAGTTCAGGTTTCAAACTAGACTGTTCAGAACTTAAAAAACAGAGCTTTGAAAATGCCTTCGTCTTCCCTGTAAGATCATCAGAGGCCACTTTTGGGGAGTCCTGTCCTTGTTCAATCTGAGTGCTGCTGCCTTGGTCTAGGCCTTCATCCCCTTGGGCATTTCCATTCAATTTAACATTTATTGAGCATCAACTATGGACCTCAAACAACTGTTTACTTAAATCCCTTCTTTCTTTAAGGTTCCACTTAAGTCCAAGGTTGGAGCATCCTGGACACAGCCAGTCCCTGTCTTCAGGCTGACATTCCATGGAGACACCAGGACCCTTTCAATCTTTGTCTGCCCCTCAGCTTAAAACCTCTCCCCACTCCACAACATTCGACATAGTCACAGAACAACATCCCTAAAATACAGCTTTCTAAGAAGTTACTCACCCAATTTAAAAATCTTCAGGACTGTAAATTCCCCATAATCGGACCTAATCTCCCCCTCTCAACCTCATTCTCTAAATGTAAACCCACAATGCAAGCCAATGGCAACAGTCTACCCATGGCACGCCATATATGAGTGTATTTCTACCTCTAGGCCTTTGTTCACATTGTCTAGGTGGTGCAGTGGACAGAGCCCTGGACTTAGAGTCAGGAAGACTAGCTATGTGACCCTGGGCAAGTCACTTAACCTCTGTCTGCCTTAGTTTCCTCATCTATAAAACGGAGATAATAACAGCCCTTACCTCCCAGGGTTATTGTGACAGAATATTTGTGATGCTCCCAGCAAACCTTAAAGCGCTTCATAATGCTAGCTACTTTTATGGCAGCTACACTGTTTCCCTCCACTCAGAACTTCTCTCCTCCTACTCAGTTTACCTAAACCCATTCGTTCTTCAAGGTTCAACTTGAATCTGAGACTAGAGCATCCTGGGCACAGAAAGGATGACTTGCTCTGATATGTCGGGCTTACTGGCTGCACTATTCATCTACGTGGCCTTGTTAGTTACATTTTAAAGTATGTGTCCTATTCCCCCCAACCAGATTATAAACTCCTTAAGGAGAAACCACAGCTCTTTAGGGTCCTTGGAGTACTTTGCCCACAGTAGGGACTCACTAAACGTTTATGAGGATAGTACAACTGAGTTTGGTGCTGCTGGCCGTCAGGGAGGAGACACCTTAACATGGTTATAATCCGTCACACAGAGTAGGTCCCATCAACTGTGGTCCCCTTGGCACATAATACCATGCCTACCTATGGAGCAAGAGAAACCCTTAACTCACAGTGTAAAAACCTTGTGAGAAAAGTAGCATAGAGAGTTTATATCTCTGAGAAACGCAGCCAGGGGGTGGGTATGTGAGGCAGGATTCAAACCTAGGTCTTCTAAGCTCCAAATCTGGCTCTCTCTCTCTCAGGAATGCTGCCCCGCTCCCTTTTTCCCTTGTTGCTCCCTGCCCATAGACCAAAACACCTTCCTCCTTTGTCAGACTTTAGGGTGAGATTCTATAGCTCATCCTGAAAAAGGGGATGGCTGTCTGGGCTTGACTAAGCAGTTGCTGGATTTCAAAAATTAAAATAGGATTTGTCTTTACCTGTGATCCCTCAATTTCCCGATGGAAGGCTTCTGTCGTTTCTTTAACTAAAGCTGTCAAGGCATAATATTCAGGGGATGACTCTTCAACTTCTTGTTCTATGTCTATATTAATTCCATCCATGTATTGTTTTTTGGCCAATGTGAGTTGTTTCGCTATCCAGGCTTCTCTGAAAGTAGGCTCAACGATATTCTTTAAGGGGACATCTCCTATGGAAGAAATACGTATTTAGCCAAAAAAAAGTTCCACTCCTTAATGACATCTGTTTTACAATCTCCAGAACTTTGTGAGATCAAAGTCCTTTAAGGACACCACATAATATTCTGGAATAGTTACTCTCCTTTGAGAGTTCTCCACATGGAGAAATGATGTACCAAGAGCATAGAGCTTATATCTCATTAATTTACAAAATAACCCATCCAGACACTAAGCATAATTTAAAAACAGAGAAACTGTGGGCTAAGAGCCTAGACAAAGGTTGTTATATTAATTAGATACAGTCACAGTGCTCAGGATCACATAATGAGTTACGCAACCCTTTAAAAGGATTCACATTTGTGAAATGAATCAGACAGTATCCTAGGAGAATTTTTATAATTATTGAAAACATCAGATGGTGGGAATAAAGAAAGAAAACCTAGAAATGAGACAGGACTATAAAGACATAAGGAGAAAAAATTTAAAGTTATACAAAGGTTGAAATAGTTTGTGATTCTTGCAGTCTTTCTATTGATTCTACCCTGAAGTCCCTATAAGATAAGTCACTAACCTTTTAGTACTACCCTGGATCCTTTTGAATGGGCAAAACACAAAAGTTCAGGGTCATACTTTCCAAAAGCTGCCACTGTTGTGATCTGGGACCAGTCATAAGACTTCCAGGCTTTTCCTCCAACATCAAACACAAACACCTGTAAAGACCAACAGAAAAGGTAAAATTATAGAATTTAGAGGCGAGAGATTCTGGAAGCCACCTATTTCAACTCATCCCTAAAAAGATCCCACAGTGTGACATCCTCAGTAGTTCTAACCTTAGCTCAAAGACCTCCAAGGAGGTGCACCCACCACCTCCCGCCACAGCCCATTACCTTTGGACAACTCTTAATTGTTGGGGATCATCAAGGCTGACATCAAGCCCAAATTAGCCTCTCTGCAATATCTACCTGTTATTTCTAGTTTTGCCCTCTCTGGCCAAAAAGGAACAAGTCTCATCTCTTTCCTGCATGACAGACATGTTATTGTCCTTCAGTGGTTTCAGTTGTGTCCGACTCTTTGTGACCCCATTTGGTGTTTTCTTGGCAAAGATACTTGGTTGGTTTGCCATTTCCTTCTCCAGCTCACTTTACAGATGAGAAAACTGAGGCAAATAGGGTTAAGTGAATTGCCCAGGGTCACATAATGAGTTACATAACCCTTTAAAAGGATTCGCATTTGTGAAATGAATCATAATATGTCTGAGGCTAGATTTGAACTCAGGAAGATGAGTCTTCCTGACTCCAGACCCAGCACTCTATCCATGGTGTCATCTAGATGTCACCGGTCCTCTTTGACAACAAAAGATGAACAACAACAACAGTGCCTGGCGCATAGTAGGTTTATTGAATTGAATGACAGCCCTCCACCTTCCACTTGCCCCTCCCAAGCACCAAGAGTCTTCTCTTTCCTGGGCTGAATATTCCCAATCCTTTCCACCAAGCTCATTGACTCAAGGCCCTTTACTATCCTCGTTGCTCTTCTGTTTGATCCAGTTTATCAATGTCCTTTAAAAATTATGGTACACAAAACCATCAATCAATCAATCAATCAATAAACATTATTATTTAAATTTATTAATTTATCATTCAAAACTAAACACAATACTCCAAATGTTGTCTCACCAAGGTAGAACCCAGAGGATTTATCACCTCCTTATTCTGGCATGTTCTCACAGCCCACAATTGATTTTTTTTGGTTGCTACATCCCATGGATGACTGACATTGAGCTTTCAGTCTACTCAACCCCTAAATATTTTTCAGTCAGTTTATCTAACAAAAATGACATCTTCGCCATCCTTTCCATAAGTTCAAAAGATCAAATTCACAAACTCAAGACGTTACCTCTATCCTTGTCAGATTTAATCTGATTCTAGGGTTTAATCTGAATCCAGGTCTCTAATATGTCAAGATCTTGTTGGATTATGTCATTTGGTGTGTTAACTGTCCCCCTTATGTTTGTGTCTCCCAAAAATTTGATGAGCATGCCATCTTTATCCAAGCCATTGATAAAAATCTTAATACAGCATATGAATAGACACAGATCTGAGGGACACCACACTGAAGACCTGCCACGTTTCACATTGACCCTTTAATGACTATTCTTTGAGTTTGAATTATCATCTAATTCATAATCTCCCATCTATTCTATTACAATAGTATGAGATACTTTAAAAACAAAATCTTTGATAAAATCTAGGTAAACTGTATCTATAGCATCCCTTCACTACCCTGTTCTGCTAGTTTAATAACCCTATCAAAAAAGGGAATAAAGGTTAGTCTGGCATGACCTGTTCTTGATGAAGCCATGTGAACTCTTGGTAATCATTGCTTCCTTTTCTAGATATTCAGTAACCATCTTCTTCCCCCCACTCGAGGCAACCGGGGTTAAGTGACTTGTCCAGTGTCACAATGCTAGTAATGTTATGTGTCTGAAGCTGGATTTGAACTCAGGTCCTCCTGACTCCTGGGCTGGTGCTCTACCCACTGCGCCACCTAGCTGCCCCAGTAACCATCTTTTTAATCAGAATTTTCCTAGAAACTGAAATCAAGCTTACCATAGGAAGCCACATAGTGTGTTCCCTTTGTCCCCCCCCCCCCCACTTTTTTTAATCAGGAGAACAACCACAGACTTATTATAATTCAAACTTACATGAAACTATAATGGTGCACCACTTTTTAAGGCCCATTGCAGGGAATGTACTTAAGAGGTTAAATTTATACCTCTAGGATCTATGATTTCCCTGGTGTGCGTACTCCCTCCACTGGTCACAATCCTTCACTGACTTAGTGGAAGATCTTTGAGGATGCTGGGCTGTAAAATTTCATCGCTATGTGGTCAACCAGGTGATCAGCCTTTCCATATTCAGCTAGGCTGGTCCCTTTCTAAAATATATGTGCCCTAACTGATATCAAATTGCTTGCCTTCTCAAGGGGAGGGGAAGAGAGGGTGAGAATTTGGAACTCCAAAATTTAAAAAAGAAATGATACAATTAATTAATTGAATATATGTATATATGTATGTATTTCCTCTGGTGACCACACCTCCAAAACCCAGGATTGTTTAAACTCAAGGCCATAACGGGGCCTGGGAGAAGCACCTTAACAAGAGTAAAAGTTACCCCATGATAGAACAAGATAAGGCTGATAATTTATACCACAAAACTTTAAAAAATGACCTGATTTTGATTTTAACCTGGAAGGAGAAAGGATGACACAAAAGAGAAATGTCTAATCTAATTCTGGTACTAAAGGCTTCAAATTAAGAACCTAATAAGAGGAAAGAGTAATTTACCATAAACATAAATTTCATTTATTTTAATTATTCTTTTTCAGGAAGCCTGCAACTGCTGCTTAAACTAATGAAATGTGCTTTGGGGTCAGTGGCCTTTTAGTGTCCTGGAAAAGTTACCCAGAAGGAGTTGATATCTGGGAAATTGACGATATAGATCAACATCACTTAGTATTTAATAAAGCTGTGCTTCCCAGACTACAGTGTTTCCAGTAATAGTTAAACATTCACCAACTCTTGTCTCTTAAGCAAGTTATAAAAATTTTGTTTACAGGTGATTTTAATGCCCATTGACAGAATCAATGTTCGGTAATGTCACATTAGATTACTTAGACGGTACATCTCTACCCAGGCTGTCCTTCAGACTTGGCCTTTCAACCTCACTGAGAGAGTAACAAATTCCTGGTACAAGCCTTGAGTATTTTAGAGAGAGACACATATGAGGATCATAAATTTTGGAGCTGGAAGGGTTCTTGGAGGTGCTCTAGTCCAATGGCCTCATTTTACAGATAAGGAGACTTGAGGGGCCCAGAGGAGTCCAGTTTCTTGCCCAAGGTCCGAGACACTGACAAAGCTGGGATTCACAACCAGGGACCTGAACCTTGAACCTGTTCTCTACATTGTCCTGTGGCAGAATCGACAATCCATCAATATCCTAAGCAATAAGGGGAGGTGTCTTCATTCAAAGTCAGGCACGCAAGGGATGAGTTTAGCCAAGCTGGAATAAATACAGATGCCGGGGGAAGCAGGATTGAGACTGGGGCAGCAGAAAAGCACGGTCAGGATAAATAAATGGTGAGGGGAAGAAGGGGGTAGGGAGACTGAGCCTTCCAACGGACCACTGGAGTTCTGCTGCCACACCAGGTCCTCGTTCTCCAGGTAACCCAGTTAGCTGTCTTGTCAGAGAGGAGACACAAACCAGCCCCCATGACATAATCCAAAAGACTGAACCTTTGGAATCGTCGACTGCCTGCAACCATCCCCTCCCCCCGTGTCACCTGGGCATGGAAGGCTGATCCCCTCTATGGAGGCAGGGAGGCAGCTCCTGAGTAGGGAGGGGTGCACTGGGAGTCACAAGACCAGGGTTCAAATTCAGCGCGTGTGTGTGTGTGTGTGTGTGTGTGTGTATGTGTGTGTGGTGGGGGGGAGGTGATGGACCCCAAACGTGTCACTTTATCTCTCTGGGGTTCAAGCTCCTCTTAGATAAGCGGAGGAGGCCAGATGACCATCACCTGTACATGCCAAAGCCCCTTGCCTAATCGAGGGCTGGGTCTTGGTCTGTCAAATGAAGGACTGGGTCCCCTGCCCCCCCTAAGGTCCTTGACGGCTCCCTGGGACTCAGTTTCCTCGCTTCTACAGTGAAAGTCAGTTTCAGGAGTTGGCATCCACAGGTCAATGTGCTCGATGGGAGTCATTTCTTTCTGGGTCTCAGCTTCCTCCTTCCAGTTCAGGATCAGGCCTCCTGCAGTTCTCTACCCCGCTGCAGGCCTTAGTTTCCTCCTCTGTGACATGGGGGAGGGAAGGGCTAGGTGGCCTCTGGGGTCCCTCCCAGTCCAGGTCTCAGTTTCCTCCTGTGTAAAATGAGGGGGGAGGGTGCAGTTTCCTCCTGTGTAAAATGAGGGGGGAGGGTAGAGGTGGCCTCTGGGGGCTCTCCTAGTCCAGGCCTCAGTTTCCTCCTGTGTAAAATGAGGGGGGAGGGCGCAGTTTCCTCCTGTGTAAAATGAGGGGGGAGGGTAGAGGTGGCCTCTGGGGGTCCTCCTAGTCCGGGGTCTCAGTTTCCTCCTCTGTGACAGGAGGGGTGGGGGTTGGGCCGGCCCAGCGCGCCCCGGCTCCCCGCCCCCCCTCGCTCCCCCGCCCGCCCCGCTGACTCGCTCTCCCCCCTCCCCGCTCCAGCCGCCTCGCTCCCTCTCTCCGCCGCCGCCTCGCTCTGCCCCTCGCCGCCTCGCTCTCCACCCCCGCCGCCTCGCTCTCCCCGCCCCCCGCCGCCTCGCTCTCCCCCCCCCGCGGGGCACGTGACCTCGCGCTGACCTCGAAGTCGCGGCTGTCGCGCACGGGGCGGCAGAGCGCGGACTCTTCGCACGGGCAGGGGTCGGCGGGGGCGGGCTGGGGGGAGGGGGCGCAGAGGCCCAGCAGCAGCAGCGCCCAGACCCAGGCCCGGGCCAGGCCCCCCAGCGCGGGGCGTCCAGACATCCTGCTTCCCCTCAGACCCCTGGAGCTCAGGAGCCACCCGTGTCGCGGACGGGTCGGTCACGAGGGACACCGCTGGCCCGGCCACGCCCCGGGTCAGGGCCCGGGAAGGGGAGTCCCGGCCCCGCCCCGGCCGCCCTTCCGCCTAGGCTCCCCGCCCCCGCCCGTAAGTGCCCTCGGCGATCCCTCCTTTCCGCTGCTCCTATCTCCTCGGATCACGTGGATGTGTCTGTTTGCGCCAGGCTCCCATAGACTGAAAGCTCCTCGAGGGCAGGCCCTGGCCTTTGCCTCTTCTGGCGTCCCCACCCCATAGTGGGGCGCCTGGCACCCAGGACGCACCCAATCCCCCGTGGCCCAGAAGCAGCGCACGTGTAAAAGGTTTGCAAAGTGCTTCTGCGTGCATTCATAACAATACATCGTGCTGACGACGGCCCAGGCTCTTCACAGTTATTTCATCCTTACACCATTGCTGTTGTCGTCCCTACATCCCCATTCGGGGTTTTCTTGGCAGGGATACTATAGAGGGTTGCCATTTCCTTCCCCAGTTCATTTTACGGATGAGGAAACTGAGGCAAACAGGGTGAAGTGACTTGCCCAGAGTCATACAACTATTAAGTGTCTGAGGCCCATACAGAGTATCCGACAAAGCATCTCCTTATAGAAAACTCTTTAGACGAGAATTCTAAAGAGATGGTGCTGCATGGCTGCTCTAACTATTGCACGTCCACATCAGCCCAGGATTCAGGCAACCTGGTCAGGTGTGTAGAAGACACACCTGGAAAAACTGGAACAGCAGCCGATATTGGAGCCGCCCCAGACTAGAAGAAGATAGCAACAAAGTAAGAAGAGCAGGCTGGCCCCAGTGCTTATCCCAAGCCCCCCCCCCTTTTTTTTAACCCCAATGCGCTTCTTCTATGCCTTAACTCCCAAATCCTCTACCAGCAAAGTGAAATGTTTCGTGTTGTTGTTTTTTTCCTTTCCATTAGATAAGAGTATCTGGGGCTTATTTTAAAATTAAATTATCCACACATAAGTATATTCCAACACACTGAGTCCCACTTGGTCTTGTCTGAAAAACACTCCCAGCCTTTGTTTAGATTCTTTCTACCTACCTGGAATGCTGGCCTTCCTCTTCTCTGCCTTATTCAAATCCTGCTAATTCTGGAAGTGTTCCCCTTACCTAAGTCCAGTTCTCTCTTCTCCAGTCCACATTGAAATTCCCCTTCTCTGAACTCATTTTTAAGCTTGGACCTCACAATTTAGCTCTTAATTGTTTACTAACTTGCATTTCCCAGCTAATCCCCAAATGTCTTGGTATTTAGAGCTGGCAGGCACCTCAGAGATCATCCTGTGAAACTCCGGGTTGTGTAGATGAGAAAACTGAGTCCCAGAAAAGTTAAGTGACTCACCCAAATACATACAGGCAATAAGTAGCCTGCATTATTCCATTCCTCCTTCTCCTTTTGCACTCTTTGCCCCAAACCAACTAGACTGTTTATTTTTCTCCCTATACAACATTTCAGATCTCTTACCTTGACACCTTTACTCTGGCTATCTCCATGCCTTGGATATACCATTCCTTGCCTGCCCACCCCACCGCCCAACACTTCCCTTCCTAGAACCCCTGGAGAAGAGATGTTTAACCTTTTTTGTGTGTGTGATGGAACCTTTGGGCAGCCTGGGAAAGCCAATGGAGCCCTTCTCAGAAGAATCTTTTTCAAATAATTGAAGGAAATGCTAGATTTTACAGATTAGTAAAAATAAATGGGTGGTTTTTTTTTTTCATCTAACTTCACAAAACCCCTGAAATCTTTCCACAGATCCCTTCAGGATTCATAGACCCAGGGTTAAGAACTGCCTGCCTAGATCCTTCCACGGCTGAGCTGAAGTGCCATCTCCTTCTCTGGTGTTGTTTTTCAGTCCTTTCAGTTGTGCCTGACTTTCCATGACCCCATTTGGGGTTTTCTTGGCAAAGATCCTGGAGTGGTTTGTCATTTCCTTCTCCAGTCCTTTCACAGATGAGGAAACTCAGGCAAACAGGGTGAATTGACTTGTCTGGGGTCACACAGCTAGGAGTCTGAGGCTGAATTTGAACTCAAGAAGATGAGTCTTCCTTACTCCAGGCTAAGTGCTCTATCTACTGCACCATCTAGCTGCCCCAGTTACTCCTTCTATAGACTTTTCCTAATTATCTCCCTTGTTAATATATCCCAACTCCCAATAAGCTTTAGTAACTTAAAACTGCACTAAGACTAATTACTTTAAGCTATGAAGGCTTAAAATTTGCACCACCCTATATCTGTTTACTTATAAACATGTAGTATCCCCGGAATAGAACATAAACTTGGTGAAGGTGGAAACTCTCTCACTTTTGTGTTTGTATCTCCCAAGGCCTAGCTTGGTGTCTAGTCTATAAGTAAGTAATAAATGTTTGTTAATGCTCTGTTGGGACAATGATCGCAGATGATTGGGAGAAGTCACAAGGTACTCAAGAACAAACAGGAAAATGGCTGATAGCCAAGATAGATAAAAAAGAGAAAATCTGGTTGCTCTTGGTAGGTTCAGGTCACCAAGCCCAGATGAGCTACAGCTTTTGGGACCTGAAAGAACTGGAAGATGTAATTGCTGAGCTCTTGTCACCATGTGTGGAGGCCAGGTTTGGGGGTGGGGGTGGCACACACCTGTTACAGGGGAGACTGAGGCTGCTGGATCAGATCTCAGGAGTTCTGAACAGCAGTAGGGCCAAAATGGACCAGGTGTGTCCACTTAAGTCCAGCACCAGTATGGCAATATGGCAACAATAGGTTGTCTAAAGGAGGGATGAACCTGTCCTCATCAGAAAACAGCATCTTGTCAGAACTTCTCTGTGGATCAGCAGTGTGATAGGGTCTGTGAATGGTCACTGTACTACTAACCTAGGAGATCTGGGGAGACCTGGAAAGAAGGAAGGAAGAAGGAGGGAGGGAGAAAAGGTTGAAAGGAGGAAGGGGGAAGGTAAAAGGAGGGAAGGAGTGAGAGAGGGAGAAAAAGGGGAAAGAAAGGAGGAAGGGAGGAAAGGAAGGAGGGAAGGAAAGAGGGAGGGAGAAAGGGGGAAAGGAAAGATGAAGGAGAGGGAGGGGTAAAAGAAAGGAAGAAGGGAGGAAAGGAAGGAAAGAAAGAAAGGCAGAAGGGAGAAAGATAGGAACAGGCCAAGAACTACAGAATTGGAGAACATATGTCTGATTTTCAGAAAAGAAAGAGGGTGGCTGCTGTAAATGATAAGCCAGTAAGCCTGACTTAAATCCCTGGCCAAATGTTGGAATGCGTTATTAAAAAGATGGTTAGTGACCATCTAGAAAAGGAAGCAGTTATCACCAAGAAACAGCATGGCTTCATCAAAAACAGGTTGCGCCAGATTAACCTTGTTTTCTCTTTTAAAAGGATTATTAAACCTATTGATCCAGAAATTCTTTAGATATAGTTTTCTCAATTTTAGTAGAACATTTGGCAAAGTTTCTTATGTTGTTGGTGGAGAAGATAGGAAGATCCAGGCTAGACGATAGTAGAATTAGATAGATTCATTATTGGATGAATGAACAAACCAGGTTTTATATCAGCCAGGCAGATTTCTACAGTAAAGAGCTCTAGGAATCTGTGTGTAGCCTGATACTGTTTAACATTTTTTATTAATGACTTAGATAAAGGTATAATTATTAATCATAATAATTCACATTTATATAGTTCTTGACAGAGAGTCTAGAGGCAGCTGCTTGTGAGACTCACAGAGGCTCATGGTACCCATTTCTTCCTATTCTGTACCCAGTCATTGGGTTGTCTGCTGGATTCATCACACAGGTTGTCTCAGTAGGGAAATTCCAATGCTTCATTCCAATATCACCAGATTTCCTAAGGAATGTTGATTGGAGTGAAGCACAGGGAGCCTAAATCCCCTACTGAAAAGTCAGACACGCCCAGAACAATACATACATACATACACACACAGATTCACATATGTAGGATACATTATGGGGGAGCTAGGTGGTGCGGTTGTAAAACCATGAAAAAGTTCTTCCCATGGTCCTATGGAGAATTTTATATCACAGCTTTCATCAAATGAAAATAACGAGAATACTAATTACAGCAGAACATGATTCACAGTATTCATGGTCCCTATAAGGGACTTTGGAGATCTTCTAGTCCAAAGCTCTCATTTCACAGGTAAGGAAACTGAGGCCCAGAATGATAGAAAAACGTATCCAGAGTCACTCAGTGAGTAAAAAACAGGTCTTGGCCATGGGTCCTCTGGTTTCAGTTCCAGTGCTCTGAAATCCTTGCCTCAGACGTATACTAGCTTCATAACCCTAGGGAAGTCATTAACCTCTCTCAGCCTCAATTTCCTTATCTGTAAAATGGGGATAATAGCGCTCACCTATACACACTATATATTTGTGTGTGTGTGTGTATATGTGTACATATACATACATACATACATACATACAAAAATATCTGGTAAAGCTCTTTGCAAACCTTGAGGTGCTATTATAATTGCTAATTATTATGATTTTGTTTGCCACAAAATCACAGAACATTAAGGCTGGAAGAGACCTAAGGTTAACTAGTGTAACTTACACCTAAAAAAGAATCCTCCTGAGAACATACATGACCAGTGGTCATCTAGTCTTTGCTTAAAGACCTCTACTGAGAGGGAACCCAGTATCCCCAAAACAGACTACTTTTAGATAAATCTGATCATTGAGAATTTTTCCTTATATAGAGCCCAAATCTGACCTTCTGCAATTTCCACTTTTCTTGTTTCTGCTTTCCATGAACAAGTGTAAGCTCGCTTCCACATGACGGCCAGCCAGCCTTTCAAATATTTGAAGACCATTATCACATCATCCCCAAGTCTTCTCTACCCTATGCCACATGTACCCAGTTCTTTCAATTGATCTCTTTGTGACATGCTCTAGAATCCCTTCACGACTTGTTGCCCTCCTCCAAATGTTCTTCATCTGATTGATGTGGTGACTAAAACCAAA